GTGGTGTGGGCTGTTATGGAGGACTTAACCCCAAATCCTTTCCCACACTCACTTCCAGCTCCCGCCAAAAGTAACTTGTAAAGGCACAATACGTAGGCGCCTCCTTCCAAAACCAGGCTTTGACGGCATGTCCCTTGCCTGACACACTCTCACCCCCACGCAGAGAGTGAGAGAGGCAGATGCTGAGCGTGCTCCTCAGCATGTTAGCTGGGAAAGCCCTGACCTCCCCTAAACATGGTGGAATTTCAGCCTTGATGTGAGGAAACACTCAATGGTATTCCAGTGTCACATGACCTGGCATTCAGGAGAACCATGAAAAGCCACTTGGAGTGCAAAACTGGGGCATTGTCACATCCCTTCTGCCCCATTAGGAAAGTGGTGGCAGTTGATGGTGTGTTTGTGGTCATTAAACAAAAAGAGAGGGAAATTGGAAACACTCTGAAAGAACACTATGCTAATTCTTCCTCAATAGAGGGTCTCATGCTTGGACTTTTTATACGCCTAACTTTTACAACTCATGCCATGTAACGTTCAACAGGTGAATTTGAATTTTGTGTCATGACAGAATTAAGGTAAATAGGATCCATTTGCATAGACAGGTGCATGGTGCTTGGCTGTATACATTGCTTCAGGTGTGTTGTGTGTGTGTGTGTGTGTGTGCGCAGTTATGGTTTCCTGCGCCTTGATGGTGTCTGTCAACAGGAGGTCTACCTGTAGCCCTCCCTTTCTAAGGTGTGTGTAGGAGAGGGGGAAATTTTGTGTGTCTAAGCAGAAGTCCAGATGGTCTATTCAGGCTGAGGCATAATGGAGCACACTGGATCAGTGGAGGCAGGGTGGAGCCGGTTGCTGAATGGAGTCGAAGTGTGGGAAACACACACAGGTCGAAGCTCTCACACATTCCTTGCAGAAGAGTGCTGCTTTCGCCAAACTTTAGATACTTGGGCAGCTGGGTGCACAGCCATAGAGACACTATATGCCTGGATATGTGGTGTATTATGGGGCTTTTTTATGGAAAGAAGGTCCACATTCTTTTAGTGGCGTTGTCTGTTATTGTGAGTCATTGTTGAGAAATGTGTAGCTTGAGGGGAGAAACTGAGCCAGTAAAAGAAGGGGATAGAATGTTCCCTTATAGACATTTGCATGGTTGTTTGAACACTAACAATTTTAAGTATCTTATCTTACAAAGGTACACTGGATTATTAATTTTTTTTAATTGATGTCAAATAACAAAAAAGGAAGTGTTTTTTTTTGCAAAAGAATAATAAATAGAACTAATTTTGCAAATAATTTGACTTAATATCAGATGACATGGTTACAATTTTTAACAGTATAAAAAATTTCAAAATGAAGAGAAGTTCAAATGCTCACTATGAAGTATCTGTAATGCAGATGTTTAAGCACAGGTCCAAAGAGTGCGGGAATGAAAAAATGCGGGAATGGAGGGAGCAGGTGATGTGGGAGAAGTCAGATGAGAACATGCACGCGTCCCACAAACCCGCTCCACCTCCAGGTTCAAAGGGTGTGTTGGGGGCGGACGAGGAGGGGCGCAGCTCTATTGACTGAAGGACGTGTGAGCAGGATCCTGCCTGACTTTCCCACACTGTCTGTCCATTTATTACCCGAAATTCTCGGGTGGAGGGAGGGTGCCCAGCACAAAAGAAGTGTGCCGTCCTCCAGGGCATGGGATAATTGTGCTTAATTGACATTTGTTGTGAAAGCTTTCCTCACAGTGAGTTTATATTTGGATATGAGAAAGCAGCAAAATACTTAATATACAGTATGTAGACAAATTAAACCTTAACTCGTCGTATTTCTGATAGGGAACAAACATTTTTCTTAATGCTCATTAGCTTTTAAGCATTTAAACTAATCAGGTTATAATTATTCCCCTTCCTATCTTGAACATCTGTCAAATTTAGAAATGTGTGTGAGTCAGATAAGAAGAATAATGTTTTATTTTTATGCCTGAGGCCCTTGGGAAATTATCAGACTCTCAGTCCCCAGTTGTAGTCGGCTTATCAGTCAAAGGGAAGGTTCCCAGGTAATAAAAGTCTAACAACCTGTCTTGTGCTACTGATATCTAGAAGGCCATCCCCACCGTGTGGGCCATGAGGCCCGTTAACCATGGAATAATTGATGCCTCATCTATTGTCGAAGACGCCACACCCCCTGGCCTCTGAGTGTGGGAAACTTAATCCTGCCTGGGACTCATGCCTTTATAATGCTAATGCACTCCTATAAATAAGGCAGAGAGGGATCCTCACTCCAGACCACATCTAACTCGCTCTCCTCACAGAAGCAAAAGCTCTCCTTCTGAAACGATGGCTCCTACGTACATGCCTTCTGCTGACTACTCAAAGCTTTCCAACAAGGAAAAACATAAAGTGAGTACCTCTACTACTGTATATTCAAACTTTTTGCTTTTGAAAATGTTAAATTTTTACAAAGTGAACAAGTTACTAACAGAATTTCTCTTTCCTTTTTTTAGCTACGAAAACCAGCGGTGGAAAAAATGCGTCGCGATCGCATCAACAACTGTATCGAGCAGCTTAAGGTGTTGCTGGAGAAAGAATTCCACCAGCAAGACCCCAACACCAAGCTGGAGAAAGCTGACATTCTGGAGATGACTGTCGTCTTCCTGAAACATCAGCTGCAAAGCCAGATCTCAGCGCCTCAGAAAGCTCACTGTGGCGGCTACTCTCAGTGCTGGAAGGAGACCGTGAACTTCCTGTCTGACAACTCTAAACTGCACATGACGCTTCAACATCTCAACCGCTGTCAAGAAGCCCAGAGAACACCAAAAGATTTCCTGGTGTCTCCACGTTCCTCCCAGACCCACCAGGCTCCTGTCAAGCAGGACATCAGTCTAAACAGAGCTGTGTGGAGGCCTTGGTAGAGACACTGAGCACTGAGACTCTCTCATGTTAACCAGATGGTAGTTTCACCATCTCTTATGATGTAGGAGATTTGTATTTCCACCTATTTCCAATATGGATTTTGAAAGAAACATTCTTCTCTCTGAGAAGCACTTAATGGACAGATTCTTCATATTGAAGATATGCTGACTTTATAAGTTTGCTTTGTCAAGTAATTTTTTTTACAGAATGTATGCGTGTCTTCATTAGTTCTGCTTAGAATAAGCATTTTAATGACTTGTTGGATTATGTTATTGTAATCCTTGATTTTGCCTTTGAAAAAGACAGTTGAGAAATTGTACATTTTCTCATCTTGGTTCTTTAATGCACCGAAATGTATAGTTGACACTGTGTGTCTGGTGTTGTTGTTTAATAAAGACAATTGATTTATTAAATAAACTTGTGACTTTCTTCTCAAATTCTTTAATAATCCTACTACACTGCTACAACAAGTACACTTCGGATCTTAACGAACATTTCACACCCTTCCAAACCCTAACACTAAAACTGAGGCTTTAAAAATATGCATACAGTTTTTGTAATTAGTTGAATAAAATATAGACAGATTTTGTTGCATTTATTGATTAAATAATCTGTTGCTGCTTATTTTGTACTCATCAGTGATGGAAGTTAGGTACATAATGTTCAATTTGCATCTCACATTTTGCACTAATTATTATTTCTTGATCAAATAAACTAGTGTAGCTTATTATGTAAATATAAGTGATGGAGGTTGGGTTCACAGATTTGAGATACTTAGTCTCACTTAGTAAGCAATATGCCTATGCCAATCAGTAGACATTTATCATATACACAAAGCAACTTACATAACCAAGTTATTCTTCATTCATGTTTGTGGCTAAACTAACTGTTCAGTTATTACATGCTGTACACAATACAATTTGTACATATGTTAGCAAAAACACTGATTAATACATAACATCATTCAATAATTTAACAAATCTCTTGATCAGTTTACAGCTTAATTATACTTTCTATATTCTTTCTTGCTACAATTTCTTTGTCAGTGTGAACTTCCAAACCAAATTACTGCATAATTATTTAATCTGAGTGGAACTGATTCTGACTTTTAAGTTTCACATCATATCTTCACATGTTGATTAACGCTTCATTTTATAACTAATCTCTGAAATCAAGTTAAATTTCTCTTGGGTGGTCTTATCATAATTTTCCCATGATAACATTAATACCGGCCATAAACTGATATTTAGTAAGAAGCTATTCTGTTTCTATAAACAGGTTTGACAATGAAGAATGATTGCACACAAAGGCGATGCTCCATTTACAATACGTTTCTCGGCGTCTAACAGCATGGGTCTGAGACACTCTGAGCTTTCCCACACTCAATCGTCCAATCAGAGGCTTGTGTGCAACACTTGATAACATCAATGGCTTGAGCCTGAGGGCAAACCTGAGCTGGAAAAGAGAAGGAGGGGGGACGCCAGGAAGCGAAGTGTGTCTGTCAGTGGGGGTTAGGGCATTGAAACAGTCTGTGTGTGTGTGTGCGTGTGCGCGTGTGTTGGGGGGGTTGTTGCTGTCTCTTAATACAACTGACAAATTTACAGAGACCAAAGGCTTCACACAATAGTAAAGGCACATGCCACATACTGTAGTCACAGTTGTACAGTAAAACAATTTTCATGTATATAAATCTAAATGTATAGGTGTGAGAGCAAGAAAAGTGTCAGTGCGTCATCTATGGCATCAATCTTTTATCTTTATTTTATGAATATAATCTAACCAATCATGTAATAGGAACAGCAGGAATACCTTTTTTTTAGCCATTACATGATTATATTACTTTGTATGACATCAACTCCACTTTTCCTAATCTTTATTAAACTTAAACTTAATTTAAGTTGACATTTTAATGCTTTGTATTAAGTTGGCTTTAGATTAAACCCATTCAAGTGAGCAGTCAATTAGGATTATAACTTTAGTAATTAAATAAGACCAAATAATTGTTGTTAAATAATAGCAATAACTACTGGTAGAACTTTGCATGTAGTTTAGCATAATCACCACCATAGTATAATTAAAAAATAATAATAAAAAAGGGGGTTGGGCAGTGGTGGCTTGGTGGTTAAGACTTTGGGTTACTGATTGGAAGGTTTGGGGTTCAAGCCCCAGCACTGCCAAGCTGCCACTGTTGGGCCCCTGAGCAAGGTCTGCTCCAGGAGCACTGTATCATGGCTGACCCTAGCTTCCTAACATGCTGGAATTTGCAAAAAAAAAAAAAAAAAAGAAGAAGAAGATTTTCACTGTGCTGTAATGTATATGTAACTAATAAAGACCCATTATTACCATAATATTAAAATCACAGACTGCTTGGCTTCATCACATCATTTCTGGCAGTCTTCAGACACCACTTCAAGATCCACACTTCCATCCCATAGTGTGTTTTCTGTGTGTGTTCTTTTGTCTTCTAATCCCACTAATTTACATCCTGTGAGACAAAATACTTGTGACAGCAAATAAGTGGTGTGAAAACGTATTCTCAGTCACTATAATGAAAGTTAGCATTATTATTTCAATATGGAAATCAAACAATACCCTTTATTTATTTTAAGGGGATCAGGCTCATGTGTTTTTTGTGTGTAAAAGTTCAGCATATTGGACTCTGCTTCGTTTGTGCATCATTCTGCATTAAAGCATGCATATACTCTACATTATATACAATATATGTATACATGTACAAATATATAAATTTACTTGTATAATATACTTTGTATATACAGTTTAATGCAAAGTTCTTACAACCCATCCTTGACCTAGTCTGTCAAGGTATTTCACACTAACTGTGTATTTGCCTGCTTTGTAATCACATCACTTGCCATCCTATGAGACCAAAGGCATAAAGCAGCCAATTGTGAGACACAGATCTTACAATACTCTTCATATATTCAATCAATATTAACTAATCTCTTTGAAAAGTTGATTTTAACATGCCTACAGGTCTCTCCCTGGCAGAGGCTGTGAATCAGAAGTGGTGGAGGGTCAGAATTCACACCACCATGCCTAATGGATAATTTAGCGCGGCACACTTCCTTTGTGTCTGCGCTGAAAGGCGAGACTGTGTCAAAAGTGTGGGAAATCCTGCGAGAAGCCGGCCCCACACATGTGCCGAGAAACACCGCCCGTACCCATCAGGCTCACCAGCTGTCTGATGAAACCAGAGCTGACGGCATACACAGACTATCAGGGTTCTAGTGTATAGATAGGGACATTAAGGCTGTCTTTCTCACAGTCCTATGAACTCATGCTTTCTTCACATGTCTATACATCTACAAATGCCCTAATCCTATGGAAAAACAGAATGATATTTGTGAACTGATTGGAGTAGCTGATTGGAAAGGCTTTTGGAGTTTTATCAAAATTTTCATTCTTATATATTGTAAATCTAAATCTATAAAGGAAATGGCCAAATGACAGCTTTCTTGCTGAATTTTTGGTTACTAGTCTTTATCACAGCCAGCTGCTAGCTCTTCATGAGTAGGCCTGTAATAATTACTCCAATTTCTAAGGTTAACTGAATAGGAATGATCTTTATAAACAACTGATATTGATAAGTCATGTTGCAGAATATATTTTGTACAGGAAGCATCAGGAGCAATTTAATACAGTGCATAGGACAGTTCCAAGAATATAATACAATACATCTGTGACTTAGATGTCAAATTACTTACTGAAAATCTTATGAAGGAAAATCCTAATCCATTAATTTCCATTCCAATGGCAAGTCTTCACAACATGACCTTCATATGCAAGACTTAGTGCTTGCTGTGAGATAGAAATGTAAATTATCTTGGTCATTGAAATAAAACTAAGTGTAAATGGTTTTGCATTAATTACATTAAATTACAAATTGACCAGTTTAACTGCTTCTAATGTGACCACATGGGTTTTGTTTGGCCATGGAGGAGCAACAGCCAAAGTGTTGTTTATCTAAATCATATGTAAAGCCAAATAAATGAATGAACAAACCAAGACAAGAAAGATACATATTTAATCAATTTATTCATATTCACATTTAAAGCAACATGTAAAAAAGAAATACACATTCAAAACATTTATTTAAAAAGGTAACAAATACAATCAATTAGAATAATTTAATAAATAAAACTTCACTGGAGTTAAGACAAATAAAAAAATGTGTAAGTCTTCAATATGAAGAGTAATGACATGGGTTAATTTATAACCTTGCCCAACCCATAGGGAGGACACACAATAAACATACTTTTAAGAATTCTGATCAAAACCCAACGTGAGAAAATGATCTGAATCACTGGATTGGAAAATACACTCCTACTTAGCGATGGTGAACTACCATTTGGTTGACATGAGAGAGGCTCAGTGTCTCTACCAAGGCCTCCACACAGCTCTGTTTAGACTGATGTCCTGCTTGACAGGAGCCTGGTGGGTCTGGGAGGAACATGGAGACACCAGGAAATCTTTTGGTGTTCTCTGGGCTTCTTGACAGCGGTTGAGATGCTGAAGCGTCATGTGCAGTTTAGAGTTGTCAGACAGGAAGTTCACGGTCTCCTTCCAGCACTGAGAGTAACCGTCACAGTGAGCTTTCTGAGGCGCTGAGATCTGGCTTTGCAGCTGCTGCTTCAGGAAGACGACAGTCATCTCCAGAATGTCAGCTTTCTCCAGCTTGGTGTTGGGGTCTTGCTGGTGGAATTCTTTCTCCAGCAACCTTGTAAAGCTGGCTTTCGATGCAGTTGTTGATGGCGATGCGCGGGCATGGCTTTTCCACCGCTGGTTTGGGTCGTATAAAAGCGCAAAAAGAGGAATTCTGTTAGTAACTTGTTCACTTTGTAAAAATTTTACATTGTCAAAAGCAATAAGGTTAAGTAGTTCGATATACATTAGTAGAGATACTCACTTTATGTTTTTCCTTGTTGGAAAGCTTTGAGTAGTCAGCCGAAGGCATGTATGCAGGAGCCATCGTTTCAGAAGGAGAGCTTGTGCTTCTCTGAGGAGAGCGAGTTAGATGTGGTCTGGAGTGAGGATCCCTCTCTGCCCTATTTATAGGAGGCATTAGCATTACAAAGGCATGAGTCCCAGGCAGGATTAGGTTTCCCACACTCAGAGGCCAGTGGGTGTGGCATCTTCGAAAAATCAAATCAAGTCATTCAGGCTTCCATTAGTCAATCAATATTTAGTCAATACATATTATGTTACATCAATCTAATCTATCAATTTAATACGTAGGATGACAGTTAAATATTTAACATTGAAATATTGTAAATAACATTTAAATATAATCGATTATAAATGAATGTTATAATGTTGCCACATAACAGAAACTAAACACCTGATTTTCACAATAATTGAATAAATATTTTGAAAGTAGCTATTCATTGACCCATAAAATGATACTCCCATTCATTTAAATAAATGTTTAAATAGACATCTTAATAGTAAATGGTGCATTTATATAGGGCTTTTACCCAAAGCGCTTTACACTGTGTCTCATTCACCCATTCACACACACCAATGGTAGCAGAGCTGCCATGCAAGGCCATCAGGAGCCACTTGGGGTTCAGTGTTTTGCCCAAGGACACTTCGGTATGTGGAGTCATGTGGGCCAGGAATCGAACCGCCAACCCTACAATTAATGGACAACCCACCTACCACCTACCACCTGAGCCACAGCCACCCCATGAAATTAATAGTGAATGATATGTGTCATGTTCATGAAATGAAATGGTTTACGTTCAGTATGAAATTAAGTAAAAGAATAGACAAATTTGAATACTTAGAATACATAGAATTGTGTGTGGGTGGTTGTATCTCTCTCTCTCTCTCTCTCTCTCTCTCTCTCTCTATATATATATATATATATATATATATATATATATATATATATATATATATATATATATATATATATATATATATATATATATATATGTGTGTGTGTGTGTGTGTGTGTGTGTGTGTGTGTGTGTGTGTGTGTGTGTGTGTGTGTGTGTGTGTGTGTGTGTGCGCGTATCCCCAAAAGGATAGAAATATCTGTTTTGACCTTGTAGGAGCTTTTTACGAAACCTGCAGCTAAAAGGTTTCCCCACTGGTTAGTGAGGAGGTTAAGGCTCAGGTTAGATGTAGGTGTAGATATAGCTTAAATCATGTGCATTAATATTGATGTCAGTGCATGTTCCTCACAAGGACAGTAAGACCTTACTTACTGTCCTTGTGTGCGTGTGCTGAACCTATAGATAGGGGAAAATAGTTATGGAATACCTTAACCAATAAATAGTTACTTTACCAAAGCAGATTCCATTTATGTCTGTTTAATTTTCAGGTGTATAAGGTGTAATGTTAACCATGCCTGAGACAGCACGCGCGGCGGATTAAGTACAGCGCGTTCATTAAAGCGCGTGATTAACTTCATTTCAAGCTTGATTCAAGGTTGCTCAAAACATTTTGATAGTCGATGCAGGAAGGAATGAGAATGAGAAACACGGCTCGGGTTTCAAAGCAACGACAAGGCCATTACAATCTGCAGGATCAAAGACAGAGTGAAGTGAAGCGTGGCTAGGAGACTTTATTTCCTACGTGGCGAACTTGTGAGCGCAACATGGCGTCTAAGCAGGTGTTACAGGCACACTTTTAACACTTTATAGCGGCCCGTGTCGGTTTCCCATCGTGAGAGAGGAAGTAGCTACAACACAAGACAAACCAGGGACATCACTGCTGTGTTTTTGTTCTCCTTTAATTATCCGTCGGCGTGGGAAGAAACCAAGTCTCGTGTTTCTGGGGTCGTTATTTTGGGTATAAATACAGATTCACGTGCATGCATTGTCGTTTTGTTGTTGTTGTTTTTCTGCACACCTTTTGCAGTTTGCTTTGTAGATTATGAATGAAATGCAACCCATTTGTACAAACGTGGATCTTGCACGCGAGGACAGAACACAGAGTAAGTACAGAAGACTGCCATTATTATTATGTAGATAAATAGTAGATATATATGTTTTTCTCATCAGAATAAAACAGGGACAGGAACACGTGCGCACAGGTCATGCACCTGATTTCATGCAATAAATCCGCAAAAGATAAATAAATTGGTGCCGCAGTTTTATCGTGTTTATATCTATAATTTAAATGCTTTTTTAAAAAATATTCTACTAAT